GGAATATTAGGAAGAGTTTGAGAGTTCTGTATAATAAGCTGTTCCTAGAACTGCACTCTTCTGGACAAAGAGCTTTGATGTTGTTCCCGAAATCTGTTGGAGCCACTTTCCCAGGTTAGGAATCACAATCCCATGTTCTCCTACCGTCACTGGGACCACTTTGGGCTTTACTTTCCACATTCTATCCAGTTCTTCCTTCAGGCCTGGTACTTCTCCAGCTTCTTATACTCCTTCCTAATATTCCTGTCTCTTGACACTGCTACAGCTATCACAGACAGGAAGCAACTTTGTTCATGCTTGTCAGTTTACCTTTTGACTCTTTGCTACATGTGGCCTTGCCAAGCTAATTGCAAATTAAGTCTTTGGCAGCATTTCAAGGAAGGTAAAGGTGGGTACTTATCAGCCTTACCTCAAAAGACTTTGGCAGCCTACTGTAGAACTCTTTACAACTATTTGGGACTCATTAGGCTGTGAATGAACATAATTCACAGCCATTGAAATAAAAAGAGGGTTTTTGGGACTAAGCCTGTGCTTTTTACTGTGTCAGGAAGCCTAGGTCAGAATACCTAGATAAAAGTTATCAGCTGGTATAGTCTCTGAGTGTTGGACTTGGAGTGAAAATCTCTGTATACTGTAAGGCGCTTCTGGGCTCTCACATCAGCAACTTCCATGTCTTCCTTTGGCCAACTGACTATACTAGCAGAGTATACATCTGACTAACCAACATTTAATTTAGCACTTATGTAATCATATTTTATTAATTCTCTATTGCTAACATATTATTTCTTTTTAACTTTCTTTCATTTGCTTTTTTATATCTTAAGGACTTCATTTAATCTCTATGTACTTAAATTTAATGCATCTTATGCTTTTATTTTACCTCTTATTTGGTTCTTAATTTTCATGGTCCTTTATAATTGTATGTTTATAAAACATTGGTCAATGATCATAATAAACTTGAACTGCCTTTATTTATTTTGTGATTTTCTTTTCTTTTTAATACTAATTTGGATTTATTAGGTTTTTTTTGTTCAATGTTATACATCACATAATCCTTTTTAATTGGAGTAGTTTTTATAAAGACTGTAAAATAAGTAATATATAAAATTAATTTTCATTTGCTATACAGATAGCTATGACTTTCTTATATAAAGTCCACTGTGAATTTCAGATACGGGACCTTCTAAAATAATGTATAATATTTCCACATACTAGCTGCTAAGTAATTGTATGACTGTAATAATCAGAATTAGTTTCTGTATATGTGCCTTAAATTTAGTTTAGGATATGGGTAAAAAAAAGAGGAGATTCTGACAAGAGATTTATATTATTTGAGATGTATAATGTTTATATAGCAATATTTTTAAAATAACATTTTCCAGTTTTCTCTGACAAAATAGTTCCTTACTGCTTGCAACATTTTAACAGGTGCGCTATCCTCAAAAGTAGTATACAACTATAACAGACAATAAATTATATTATTTAAATGCTACATTACAGATTTTTCTAGTGGTGACAGGTCAAGGAACATGTTTCCATAATTATGGATAATGTACTTGCACCAATCAGATCAAAGAATAGTTATTTGTTTATTGATTATAGCATTCTTAAACAGTTGAAATATATTCTGATGTAATCAGGTCAAACTAATAACTGATGCATAATACTATGGCCCTTTTGAAATAATTGGTTTTTTATTATTAAACTGATAGTTCATCAGATGAAATTTAAGATATTGATTCCTTAAAGCTCTAAATGACCTTGCTCCAAGTTCTCCTGGCATATAATTATCTCCACATGACAGTCAATAGACGAATCTTTCTTCAAAAAGTCCTGATTCATGCTGAACAAATGGAAGAAGGTATTCTGTATCATTTCCCAACTTACAGAATGTTCTCTCTTCAGAATTAGATTTGCCTCATCTCCTCATCTTCAAGGAGATCTCAAGTTCAGCAAGAATCTTTGAAATGATTGACTCAATTTTTTAGGCATACATTTTTATTTGGATTTTAACATTTTATTTATTTATTGCATTTATTGGCCATCTATCATAGAAATCATGCACACATATAGTAATAAGGGCAAGAAATTGTAAAAGTGAAATAAACAGAAAAAAGGAAAAATAGGAAACGAAATATTAGAAATGAATTCTTAAAATTAATGGACTATTAAAATAAGTAGTTTTATATCTTCATTTTTTATTCTTGTTTTTTCATTTTGTTTTTTTATTTTTTTACTTTAATTTGCACAGTATGGATTTTTATTTTAATACATATCATTTTATAATAATTTTATTATGTTGACATATATGTTATACATATTAATATTAAGAAAATTTAATATATATAAAATGTATATAAAAGAAATATATGCCTTTAACATTTAATAAAAATAATTAGAAAAGAATGAATAAAAAATGGAACGATATAAAAGACTGTCAGTGAAATTTCATTAGAAACTGACTTGAGCATGTGAATGGCATTTGTTTAGTCCCTTCCTAATTGTAAACCTGTTGTAAATTGTCCTTGAAAAGAAGGTATGCTACTGAAAATTGAAATCAACAGCAGTTAATACATTAAAAAGAGCTTACATTGAAGAAGTCTTCACTGGGAAAATTTACATATCAAATAATAAAAGCAAGATGATTTGCATAGAAAAGGTCCTCAGCCAATTTATGTTAACAACCACAAAAAATACTGACAGATACATAGATGTAGAAGCTTTTAAAGAGTATTTGGAGACATAAATAGTCATAAATATTTTTATGGATTAAAAGAAATACAAAGTGCAACATATTTTTACTGATCCATAGCTAACAAACTATTGGTTCACAAAGAAGCCATTGAAAAAGGGGTTTTAATTGGTTCATAAATTACTTGATCTTAGATATAAATACTGATATATCTATGACATTTCAAAGCATGTGTTTTATATGGTTGTTCAAAAGTAACTAAACCCGGAAAACAGTCATTAAAATGGCAATTGTTATTCAAACTCAACAAATGTACAGTAATATGCTTTGAACTAAGACAGATAGTTTCACATGTAGACTAATGGGAAACCATCTGTGCATGGATTTGTGTTCAATGAAAACATCAACTCAGTGAATGCATGCTGAAAAATGAGCATGACTCCCATATTAGAATTATTAGAAAAGAAACAGAAAGTATTGCCATTATAGCAATATTTTAAACATAAATCTTTAACATAACCATACTTAAAATACAGGCCTACAGTTCTGGTCACCATATTTCCAAAAAGGATATTTCAGTCCTTTGACAAGTCAAATTAAGCCTTTATATCATATGATGAGATACATAATTTCTTCATACAAGATATATTTCCCCCCTATTTTATTATATATAATGAGGGATCATACAAATTGATTGAGTATTAGGAGGCTTAGAATAGTACTTTCTATGAAAATTGCTACATGTTAATTCCAACATCCAATCTAAAAATCACAAATAGAAACTGAGGAAATCAGAGGAAACACAGATAAATTACCTTCTTTTTTCTTCTTTGCTTCTTGTTCACTTCTCTCTTTTGCTTTTAATGCTTCATCAGCTTTAGCTAAAAATAATGTATTGACATGACGATTAGTTCTATAATAAACATCTGGAAAATGTAATACACTTAGAAACAACATAGTCATTTGAATCTCTGATGGAAAGACCTGGACAGACCCTTTTTATATAAATTTAGCATAACATTGCTATAACTGAATGTCAGATACCAAATGAAATTTTATTTGTATTTTTTTTTGTAAATGACTCTTCTTAAATGTGAATTTCTATTCCTAATGTCTTTCCCAAGGACATTCTTCCAAAAAGCCTTTGGGGCTAAAAGTAAATGTAGTTCCAGAATGATTCTTCAAAGACAGGGCAAAACTTAATTCTTCCAAACAGGCCTGACCCTTCCAAAATGCAACAGTAAGGAACAGGAAAAAGGAAAAGTGCTGGATACCAAGAAAACTCAGTGAATCCCTCACTTTCATAGCTTACAACTCCCTGAAGAAGTTGATGTAATTTATGAACAGGCAATGTTTCTAGGTTAATGGGACAACAAATCTCCCAATCTTTGTTATTTTGTCTAAACAAAATATCTTAGCTATTCATGGATCTGTGTAATAATATTCTTTCTTGAAAAACAATATAGCACCCAAACCATTTTAAAAGCCATATGCAGAGTTCAGCAAATACTACCTGGGAGCATTCCAGGTGAAGTCTCCATTTCCAGAACATAGTTGTCTAGCACAAAGAAACTCTAAAAGCTATATATGTTTGATATATTATCCAAATGGGATGTGATCTGGAAATGAGAGTGAATGGATGGAACACGCCAATTTTCCTAGAATGCATTGCAAATGTCTTCAAGACAGATCACAAGATCACTCTAACTTAAGTCAATTACTTATCAATTACTGAATTTAATATCTCTCTTCCTTCCCTCCCTAATGTGTTCAGGAGCAGTTATATTCAAGCCCATATTTATGCCAAATGCAAGGGCCTGCTCTACTGGGACAAAATGTGTGTCTTTTGCAAATCAGAAGCTCCTTTGCTTGTTTGTAGATGCCTCCATTTTGGTTAAAGTTATACTTGTGAAATAATGCCAGATCAGTTTGTATGTGGATACATTATTCTACCTCATTGCCTTGCTAGGCTACAGAAAGTAACATGAAGACGTTCTATAATCTTCCGAAATACAGCGTTGCATAGAAGGTGCTGAATGAAGAATGGTATGGTCAGCATGTAACCAGACTATAGGATGAAATAAATTCTCTATAGAGGCATGATATCATTTCATGGATAATACCCTCTTTTTCGGTGCAAACTACAAAGCTGTATTTAATCGATGTTATGACAGCACTTTTAAAAACAGAATCTTCTTTTAGAAATATCTCCTCTTATTACTTAATTAAGTACAAGTTGCTCAACTGCAAGGGTTTTAAACACTTTACTACAGATGTTAAAGAAGATTAAAAATATACAGCACAGTAA